AGAGAGACCAGGGGTGGCATGGGAGGCTCTCTTTTCTTGAGGGGGTGTCTTCCTCCTCAGTTTCGCTCCCCAAACTCTTAACTCGACACTTTATTCCAAGAGCAAAGCAGGCCCAGGGCCCACCATCCTGAGGCGCCCACAGGAGGATGGGGTTTTTTTTTTCTCCCCCCCCCATCGGTGTGCCAAGGTCATGTGGCTGGTCCACAATGCGTGACCCACACACACACAGTGTTTGAGTGCCAACAGCATGCGCCAGCCTTTCCTCCGACCACTCACACCATCTGCCCTTCATCCCTCTCTAGAGGAGAACTGCTGGAGAGCTCAGGGTTTTAGATCTCTGCCTGTGGCATCAGAGGGCTGGGAGTTCCAATCCCCCCCAACGCTGCCTTGACAGGGGCTGGACTGGATGACCTTCAAGGTCCCTTTCCGGCTCGGTCGTTCTCCAGTTCTCACCGGTTCTCTGTCCCTCTCCAGAACAAGATGTACGAGCTGCAGAAGGAGAACCTCCTGATCCGCCACATCGCTCAAGATTGCACCTTCAACCTGCATCTGTTGAATCTCTCCTGTCCTGGTAAGGATCCAGCACTCTCCCTCCCCCCTTGTTTCTGTGGCTCTTCCATCCCGCCTCGGGGTTCGGCTTTGGTGGGCCTCAGGTGTGGCCCTTGGCCTCCCTCCTGGAGGGCCTCACCTGGGTGCTCACCCCATTTCTCCCGGCTTTCCTCTCCCCCCTCCCCCCAGTTCAAGTGGCTGCCCTCCAGGAGCAGCTGAAGGCTCTCCAGGTGCGAATCAAGCTGGACCAGGATGACTTTGAGCAGAAGACCAAGGCCTTCCAGGAGAAGACCAAGCTGGCCGAGGAAGAGGAGAGGAAGTGCCGCCTCGAGAAGCTGCAGCTGCAGACGCACTCCGAGAAGCACCGGGAGCTGCAGTCGAAAGTGATGGCCACGTTGGACCCCGTCTACCAGCAGGTGGTCTCCACGGTGGATCAGGCCCAGCTGAGCCGGTGCTACTCCTCGGACAACATCCCCCTGCAGGACCGCTGCCTCGACCTCGCCAGGCGCCTCCGGAGCCAGCTTGACAACCTGGCTTGGCAGGTGAACCAGAAGGTGGAGGAGGAGGCCCAGCGGAGCGGGGTCCTGGCCAGCCAGAAGGAGACCTGCGCCCAGAACCTGCAGGAGCGGGACCGCCAGCTCAGCACCCAGCAGGACCGGGCCGAGCGCGAGAAGCTGCAGCTGCGGGAGGCCCACGAGGCCGAGGTCAAGAAGATGTCGGACGAGCAGCAGAAGCTGGCCCGGGAGAAGGAGGACTTGAAGCTGCAGCTGGAACAGAGCAAGCAAGCCTGCCTCCGGATGAAGGCAAGTCCCTGGACGCACGGGGTTGCGGGCACGTGGGCGGGGGGGGGGAATGGGACCTCCACGTTCAGGATCAAACTAATAGGATGGCGCCCTCACCCCCCTGGCCCCCCAGAACTGGCTAAAGGGGGGGCCTCTTTGAATGGCTGTTTTGCAGGTGAACACGGCGCCTCCCGCCAACCCGTCCCTGAGGCTCCCCGGATCGGCTGCCAATCCCGCCGGCCACTTCCCAACCTTCCTCGGGAACATCGGAGGCACTGGGCTGAGCCCCAACCTCTTCAGCCAGCAGGGATCCTGGCGCCTGGGACAACCGAGCGTGGGCGCCCAGGGAAGCCCGAGCATCCTCACGGGTGAGTGGTCTCTTGCCAGGGAAATGGAGCGCAGCCCCATCCTCTTTTCCAGGCTACAAGCTCTGCAAAATGCAAAATCCTGGCACTGAGATGCGGGTTGGACTGGATGACCCCACGGGCCCCTTCCAATTCCGTGACTCTCGGATTCTTCTTTCCCTCTTAGACCGAACCCGATTCCACGAGCCCAAGAAGGACACCCCGCAGAGCGCAAAGCTGCCGATCCAGCCCCCTTTGAGCCCAGGGGGGCCGCCCAGGTATGGGAGCAAAGGGGGGAGGGAGGCGTTCAAAGATCGGGGAAGGGCAAATTTCGCCAGTTCTCCTAAAGTCGCTAATCGTGACTTCCCCTTATGAGCTATGTAGAATAATTTCTTTTAAAAAGGAACTCAAAAGTCAAGAAGGAAAGGGGGCCTGGCCACAGCTGTTGGCCGCGGTGACAAAACAGAGCCTCCCTGTTCAGGAGTAGTCTGCCTTGCAGAAAGGAACTGACACTTCCACTTTTGGTAGGAAGCAGGGAGCTGGACAAAGGGGCGTTAAATCTGGAATTTCAGCCTATTTACCTGCACATAAACCCCAATGGGAACTAGGCAAAATGTGCTGAGTGGACACACCTAGGATCGGGTGCAAATTTTATGCAGAGGGAAGAAGGGGGAGCTTGGATTCTCTCCCACCTCTGCAAAAAAAGGAGGAGATTTAACTTGGCAAATCTGCTTTCTTACCGAGACCTTTTCTTTTCCTGTGTTTTCCTTTTTCCACCCTAGCGGTTAAAGGGCAGAGAAGAAAACCCCTTGGACACCCAGGCCCAGCAGCTGGAAGCAGGGCCGGTTTGCTTGTCTGCAGAGGCTTGGTGGAGTCCAGATATCAAACAGATCGGGGGGAGAAAGCCAGGAGGGCGGCCCCTGATGCCCAGCGGCCTTTTCTTGCACCCGTGCCCTCTTCCTTCAAAATCAGCCCCTCTTCTTTTCTGCCTCTTGCTCCCCCGGATGACTGGCCTGGTGCTCTCTCTCTCTTTCTCTGGATTCCCTACCCTACAGGATTGTTGTTATTGCGATTAAAAAGAATTTTCCAAATTTGCCACCTGTCTGGGACTCCTGATGCACTCATGGGTTGGGATCCGTGCCCACGTCCCATGCGTGGCCCTGGCCCACTTAAAAAACAACACACAGAAACCCTTTACCCTTAAACAAAAAGTGTAAAAGAAATTACAGATGGGAAAACCGGGTTCCCGTATTTTTGGAACAAACCGGTGTGTCTGTTTGTGTATAAAGTTTTTGAGTGATGCGTATGTTTATGCGATTATATAGAAATAGATACCTATAGGCCTCGATCAGCGAAAGGAGGGGAAGGAGTTTCTCTGGGTGGGTTTCTTGCCTGTCAAAACTGAGCCTCCATGTTGCAGCACAGTCTACACCCGAAGAACAAAAGTATCTTTTTCCATCCATAGCAGAATCTCCTTTTTTTTGCATGTGGCCCCATGAGAGTTAAGACAATTCCCTGTGTGTGTATGTTTTCTGCCTTCCTGGGAGACCTCTGGAAGCTTCTGCCAGGGGAGAACCATCCTTGACAGGAGAGACTAATGGTCACACTCCAGAGATGACCATTTCTGCATTTCTCGGAGGCACCCGTCGGCCGCTAACAGAAGCGTGGCTGCAGGGATCAAGACTCAAAAGTGTTTCCTGGGGAAGAAGAGAACTAATAAATGCTGCCTGCAAATCCATCAGGTGTAAGCTCTTGATTTTGGGAGGGCTGGGTTTTAGCCTGCTTTTAAAAGATCTCACTGTCAGCTGAGCTGCTTCTGATAATGGAGGGGGGGGGGAACAACCCAACCAGCCACAGAGAACTATTGCACAGAACATGACCTGCATGGAGTTGGGCTTTTAATCTTCTAGGAAAACCTGAGGCATGCTCCCGATTTCACCACGGAAAGAAACATCGGACAGGTCCACGCCCCAAGGGGCTAGACCTCAGTGAGGATGGATGTTTTCCCCTAGCCACGTAGGAGGTGGGCCAAGTTGACTCAGATCCACAGGGAAGGGAAGGAAAAGATAAATATCCTCTCCTGATGTGGCACATTTCCTGTAAGGACCAAGAGCTCCACAGAACTGTCATTAAATCAGCAAAAATGTGACATATGGCACGCACGCACACACGCAAAAAAACAACACACCTAACCTAAATGCCACCGATTTTTAAAAAGTGTGGCAGCGGTCAATGAACGGAGCTAACTGGGCTTTCTGGGCGTGATAGTCAGAAGACCATCTGGGGACCTGAGATCGGGAAGCATCCATTTGCCTGATGGCAGCACCGGGTTCAATTCCTGCCGGGAGCATCTCCAGGAAGGCCTGGAAACCCGTCCGCTTGGAGAAGTCCTGAGAGCTGTACCCATCAGCCAGATTTGGAATAACCGGGCAGGACAGACTGAGGGCCTCATCCAGCACAAAACAGCTTCCAATATGAGGAAGGGCACAGAACAGGAATGCATGTAGAATATAGTGCCATCAAACTGCACCATTGCAGAACTCGGAGGGGGAGGGGGCAGAATCCTTGCCTGTCCTGGATAAGGTCAGTCGGGAGTCCCCTCATTGAGAGAAACATGTGGGGCAGAGAAGCAGTCCTTTGGGCGGTTAAAAATCGGGAGTCAAACGTTCATTTGCAGGTTAAATAGCAGGTAAAATAACCATTCCACTAAATCAAATATTTACTTAAATCAAGTACATAAAGACTTGATGGGCTGGTTTAATTTAAATAAATGATTTAATTAAATGAATGAACTTTGTCTAACAAACTAAATACATGTGGGATTAAACAACCAGGAAAATTAACTTTTTTAAAAAAAAGTAGCCATAACGAATGTTGGAAACGATCCGTGGTGATTTAAAACAAAAGAGAATTACTTAATTGGGTTTTTTTTTCTTTGTAAACAGAAAAAAAGGAACCAGCAACCTCAACCAGACCAGATATTTCTCCTGGAGATTAGCCAGAAGGGGAGAAAGTCCCTTCTCTTCCTCTCCTAATCAAGTTCTCATTAGAAGAAACTTCGTCACGTTTCTGGGAACACCCGGGGCGGGTTAGTGGCTGGGCAGGAAAGGGCCTCTATTGACCTTCATTGTTCTCCCCGGGAAGAAGGTCCTCCTGTTGACATCAGATAACAGATGCTGCCCCAGGACCCAGCGTGACCTCCCTGCGAGGCGGGTCATCCCTCTCTGGACCGAGTATAAACATTTGGGAACCACGACTGTGAGACACATGTTGTGGGTGAGCAGAGCGTGGGAGCCCGTGGGGTACAGCAGGTGGAGCGTTAAACTAGGACTCAGCGGGTCTGGGTTCGAATTCCCCCTGTTCAGCCACAGAAACTCACTGGCCAAAGTAGAACCTCTCCTTCAATATCTCACCTCCCAGGCACAGAAAATGCCGCTCCAGTCACGAGAAAACAGAGGACGAAACCACAGCGGGAACGAGGTTAGGAGCTCCTTAAATATCTCACAATCCGATGCTTTGTTAATGTATTTCCATCCTATAGGTTGAACATGGCCCATGTGCAGTCGCCAGAATGCTAAAGTTGAACTCGGAATCATCTCCAGCCTTGTTTTGAAGCGTTCACGCCATCACTTTATAGAATAGGACCAAGCCACCCCACGGATGCTGAAACGTGGATGATACTGAACAGTATTCGAAGAGTGAATGCTCTACCTAGCATAGCATCTGGCTCCCTCTGGAAGCCAGTTCTAGTTAACATCGTTAGAAATACATTAGGACCCCCATATCCCTGGAATCAGTATCTGCTGATTCATAACCATCCCTAACCTGCATAAACACCGGGTCAGACTAGACGACCTTTAGGGGTGCCCCTTAGAACTCCCGAATCGCACTCCTGTATTGGTCTGCACTCCTTGGTGGTCCTTGTTCCTCACCGCCTGGTTTTCTGCTTAATTTTCACATTTCCTTTGTCGAAAACAATCCACGTTAAACAAACGTATGTTTTTTGGCAACCGGAGGGAAAGGGTCCAGGTTTTTCCTTTTTTTTTTTTCCCTCCGGGCATCCATAACAATGCCATTGGCAGCCCCACCTTGGCTGTGTTTATTGTTCCAGGAGGTCTTTAAAAAAAAAAAAAAAAGCCAGGATGCCTTTAATAACACCACAGCACCGTCTTGCAAAGGTGGAGAGGAACATGTCCTTCTCAGCCACTAAAAATAATATTTTTTCAGGGTCTCTTTCCTCCACCAGAGCCTGGACAGAGCAGGAAGCGGCCGCCTCTCCCAGAGCCAAGTCGTTGCTTAGCTCTCCGCGGGGGTAGAAAATGGGCGCAGGACCCCTCGATTGGGATGGATCAGGAGGGGGAGAGAACGGAAGGCGAGGTGAGGCTTCCCGTCCTCCATGAGGACCGGCACAGTGATCAAGCGTCTGAGCCGAGAGGTCTGGCCCCTGCAGCCCGGATCTCAGCTCTGCCCTCCTGGTCTGTTTTCTGCCATCCTTGAGGACACCAAAGGCGACCAAAGTCTAACTGGGGGGGTGGGGGTTTAAAGGGGTTGAGTTCCTTCTCTCTGCACTGCAGTGGCTGCTTTAAAGGGGGTCGGAAACCCCCTGCCTTACTCGAGAGTAAGGCCAGCCTTAAATACCTGCAACGCCACTCAAGGCACCCAGGACACCTGGGTCCCTCTCTATGTGTGAGGGTTTGAATGGGGAGGGAGAGACACCTACGTCTGGCATGCCCAGAGAAGGGGTGCTGCCCCCCCCACGGGAGGAAACAGGGCTGCAGGGGGAGAACCCTGGCCAGACACTTCCTGAATTGGATTTCCAGCTGCAGGAGCTGCCCGCGGGGGGGGGGGGACAGGAAACCAGCGTCTCCGTCTCTCTCTCTCCCCCCCCCACCCCGTACTCTTGAGCGAGGAAAACCTCGGGACAGAACCGCAGGGCAGGAAAAGACCGGGCCGGGGGAGCAAAGGGGGGGTGCGTGAGTGTGAGGACACCCGTCCTCTCCCGGGGCAAGAAGGAAAACACACTCGCACGCTTTCGAGGCCCTTAAGGTGGCTTCGGAGGTCTGCCATCTCTCCTGGGGTCTCACCCCCCCCCCAGTCCCTAGTCCCCCACGGCCTCCTGTCACTTGCCGATGCAAAAGTCTCGGAAGATGAGCGCCAGCAGCTCCTCGGCCCCCACCTGCCCCGTCAGCTGCCCCAAAGACCGTCGGGCACGGCGCAGCTCCTCAGCCGCCAGGGCCAGATCCTTTTCCAGGTAGTGTCCGAATCGGCCCAGGGCTTCCAAGCAGTTCATTAAGCTGAGGTGGTGACGGGCCCGTGTGGGGCTGGGGGACCCCACGAGGGGGTCGCCGCACCTGCAGGGCGAGAGAAAAAAGAGATCCGCTGGGGGTGAGCCTCAATGTCCTCTAGACACCCTGCGCTATGGCTTTCTAATTCTCTATAATCTGCAGTAGGACTCCCCTTATCCGCAGGATCTGTATCCACTGATACGCTTATCTGAAAATGTTAAAAAGAAGTATATATATTTCTGATGATGAAATTACCAGAATTACTGGCCACGAGAGTCCAGGTTAGGTACAGTGGTTTCCTATTATGGTAGCGTTTGCTATCCTCCATGTTTTCCAGCATCTGCGGAAGGGAGGGTCGGAACCCACCTCCCTCGAATATAGGGGTTCCTATATTCGGAATTATTTTTCTGAGAGCTGCCAGGTTTTGCACCTCCGGCGATGGCAGATGCTGCTCAGAAGAACAGTTCGAACACACTTGCACGCAAATGAAGTCAGGGAGTAAATTAGTGAGTCCGGGTGGTGGTGGTGGTTCCCCCCCCCCCAAATGCTTCTTCCTGCCCGCCCGCCCTTCCCTGCTTCTTTTCCTCCCATTCTCACATGTGGGCCAGCTGCTCTCCCAACGCCTGCAGGAAGGCCCCGATGCCTTCTCCGGTCTTGCAGGAGAGCAAGCAGGCCGGGGAGAGCTCTTGCCGGGAGCAGCTTGCAAGGAGGTCCCGCCGTTCCTGTTCTCCGAGAAGGTCAGACTTGTTGAGAACCAGAAGGTAGGGAGGGGTCCCCTTCGGCTCCTCGGGTGGCAGGACGTCCAGCAAGGCAGGGGACAGGCGGTCGTGGCTCCGGGCCATCTCGGCCGCATCCAGGATGGCCAGAACGAGGTCCGCCGTACTCACCCTACAAAGAGAACAGAAAAGAAAACAGCACCTCGGAGGACCTCTCCCTGGCTCGGATCACCGGTCACTGTGAACGGAGCTTCCACCTTCAGGGGCAGTCTATCTCTGAAAAGACCTGTTTCTTCTCAGAGGGGGTTGGCTGAGCACCGGGGGCTGTGGGGTGGGTGGTCTTTCGTCAGATCCAAACAACCCCCCTTTTTTTTTCCTCCCCTCACCTCTGGCGAGCCCGGCTCACTCCCTCGATCTCCACCATGTCGCGGGTGTCCCGCAGCCCGGCCGTGTCGCTCAGCACCACCGGGAAGCCCCCGATATTCAAGGCCGTCTCCACCACGTCCCGCGTGGTCCCTGCCATGGGGGAAACGATGGCCACCGGTTTCTGGCCTGGTAAAGATGACAGCCAGGATGGCAGGGGAAGAGAGAATTAAGGCACGATTTTAGGAAATCTCCCCGGACAGTTTGAAAGGTTTTAAATGTGTCGGCATTTTTAAAAAAGAAACTAGGAGAAAAAGTGGGACAGCCAATCAGTTTAAGGAAGAGAGAATTAAGGCACGATTTTAGGAAATCTCCCCGGCCAGTTTGAAAGGTTTTAAAGCGAATTTCAGGTGAGCAGAGAACGACCTGATCGATTTCTATTTATTCTGTTTATCAACCACCCCATAACAAGCTATCGGAGAGAAATACAGAAGGAAAAGAAGCTTGTTTGTCAAATGAAAGATCGCAACGCGAGTGAACTTTAGGAGGATAAGGCACGATTTTAGGAAATCTCCCCGGCCAGTTTGAAAGGTTTTAAAGCGAATTTCAGGTGAGCAGAGAACGACCTGATCGATTTCTATTTATTCTGTTTATCAACCACCCCATAACAAGCTATCGGAGAGAAATACAGAAGGAAAAGAAGCTTGTTTGTCAAATGAAAGATCGCAACGCGAGTGAACTTTAGGAGGATGCAAGAGATATAAATGGGCCTCCTTGACAGGGGCCAGACTGGATCATCCAGAGGGTCCCCTCCAGCTCTACCATTCTAAAATGATGATGATGAAGGCTCTCTGTCGGCCTCTCCTTGGAGAGGAGAGCTAGGCAGGCAACATGGATGAAGGCCTTCCCGCGAGTGAACTTTAGGAGGATGTAAGAGATATAACGGGCTTTTGAAAAGGCCCTTTGAGAAAAGGATGGGCCGCTGGCCTTCAGAGGCCACGTACTGGGTTAATGCAGCACCAACTGGGAATTCAGCTCCTCTATCCTCCCCTGGTGGCCTTCGGGGGTGAAGACAGGCAGAGAAGAGCACTTCCCGTCTCTGCATCCTGTCTTTACACCGGGTGCTAAATGCGTCCTCTTTATATCCGAATTCAGCTCAGCTCAAACACACCCACTCCGAACAATCCCATTAAAGCAAACCCTATAGCTGGAGAAAACGGCGAAAGCTTTGGGCTTTGCAAAAGGGTGAGTGTTTCGGGAAGCAAAATTAGTAACTTTCCATTGTGAGGAACATTAGTAACTTCTTAACCCCGTTTGGGGACCTAGGGGGTTTATTTTGTTTTTATTATTTTGTTTCCAAATCATTGGTCCCATCAAACCTTCTTTCTCCCCAAATCTGATTCCAGACCACGAAACCCACAGAGCCTACAAAAGGGTGGTGCCATGAGGAAGAGGATGCAGCCATCGGGGGGGGGTGGTGCCTCGGAGGGCCAGATCCGGCCGGGACCAAACCCTTTCTCTAACCAGCCGTCACAGCTCCCAACTCACACAGCTGGTTCAGCAGGCTGCTCTTCCCAGCGTTGGGGGGCCCCGCAATCACAACGTGGACCCCGTCCCGCAGCCGCTCCCCATGCCGTCCATCTTTCAGGTGTTCCCGCAACTGCTTCTCGAGTGACGCAACCACCTCTTCCACTGTGCAGGGAGTAAAAATATAATTGTAAATGGGATAAACTCCATTCCACAGCTGTCCTGGAAGGAACAGAAAACACCCCGAAAAACGGTGGCTTCTGGGTTTTGCAGTTGAGACAAAGTAGGGATCTGGAAAGGCTTAAGGAAAATGTCTGGGTGTGTGTGGGTGGGTGGAGAGAGAGAAAAAAGGGGCCGGCAAGGGTGGGCTCACCTTGATCCAGGACCCCCTCCTCAATGTTGTCGTCCTCGCTGAAATCAATATAAGCTTCCACGTGAGCCAGTGCCTGCGGGGAGAAACAGCCCAATAATCCCCCATCTGCCAAACCAGGATGACCGAACCACTTATTTCCATCGGACAGTCAGGGGGAAAAAAGCCATTTTTTGGCCGTTTGGAGATGTCCCGCCGAGGGGCAAAGGTGAGCAGCGAGCACTGCTCATCTTTCCAAGCGGGGGAAAGTAGGTGGAAAAAGTTCAGACCTGCAACCACAGAGAACGTGTCATGGATTCACGGTGGCTGCATTTCGGTCTGTGGGATACGCCGAATTTGCTTTTAGATCTGTAGGGATGTTTTACTGTTTGATCACATTGCCAAACGCCCAGAGTGGACTCTGGCTACATGGGCAGTAGATAAATTAATTAAATATACAAGGAGGACTCAATACACGCCCAGGTATTCTTCTGCCAGCTTGATCTACAAGGCAGCTGCTTTGTGCAATGCTCGGAGGGAACCTTTTCACCCCCCCAAAAAAATTGGGTCCGCAAAAGCCGGCATGTTATCCAGGTGGGATTCTAACCCCACTGGCGTGGGGAAGCCTGAGGCTGCCGGGTCAAAGACCTGGGACCCTCCCAGTTTTGGACGGGCGATAAGGACCCCCTCCTGGCCCCATGGGTGCCCAGTTTCCCCGAGATCAGCCACAACGCACCCAGAAGCCAGAAAGAAATGGATTTTCCCAGGAACTAAAAATTAGCAGACACCCAAAGCAGGAGAGAACTGTTGCCTCCCATCTTGGCTCTGTTGCCATCTGGGCTGGTAACCCCTAATGGTCTTAATCCCGTGAATCTCACCCTAATGCCCCTTTAAACGTACCTAGGTGGGTTGTTCCCAGTGACATCTTGTGGCCGGGAGTTCCACGGGGCAACAAGACACGTGAGGACCCACGCACAGCCTCTGAAGGTCTGTTTTCTCTGCCTGGCCATCCTCTGCAGAACTGATTCCTCTGGCTAGCTATGAACGATCGGAGCCCCCCCCTCTCTGTGTGAGCCTGGCCTACCTCACAGGGCTGTGGTTCTCTGCGGGAACGAGAAGAGCCACGGACCGCACCTGTTGCTCCTGGGTGAACAGGGGACATTTCTACGCAGAAGGAAGAGGGACCCGAGTTCCCAGTTTCGTGGCCTGTCCCACACCCGTGTGAGTCCGCCCGCCCGCCCATCCCTCCCTCCCTTCTCAAACCCACAACCGCCCCTTGCCTTGGTGAGGGAGTCGCTCCACCGCCGATAGAGCTCCCCCAGCTCCCCCGCCATCTGTCGCAGGGCCTGACGCCGCTGGCCTTCCGTCTCCGCGTGGATCAGGTCCCCGAGCCCCTCCGCTGCCGTCAGGTCAAGCTTCCCATTCTGGAAGGCTCGCTTGGTGAACTCCCCGGGCTCGGCCAGGCGGAGCTGCGGGAGGCGGCCTGGAGAGGAGGAGAAGACGCCAACCTTCAGGAGGAGACCCTCCCTCTGCCTTGTCACCAAGCCCACCCCATGGTCTAGACAGAAGGACCTTCTCCTTGGTTCCCCATCACGCTGGCGAGCCAGAAGGGAAAACCCTGTTTTTATAAAGTTTGGCCAAGTCACCAGGGAGCCCAAGTGACGAAGGAGATGAAAGCCGACACCAAAGGAGGCAACCTGGATTCTATCAGGTCTGGAAACCATGGTGTGCAAACAACAGCTGATGCGGTGCCCAGCAGGGTCTCCTTCTGGTCAGCCTTAGTTTCTTGTGGCAGGGAGTTCCACAGGCCAGGAGCAGCCACCACCCAGAAAGCCTTCTCTCTCAGAGTGTCAAAACAATCTTTTTTTAAAAAACATCCCTCCCTTGGAGAATTGAAAGCCTGGCCTGGCCTCATATACAGGAGGATCTCCCACTATCCACAGGATCGGTATCCGCTGATTCACTTATCCAATTAAAAATATCTCTTCATATGTATTTCTAGAGTATGTATGCCTGAAACCATGCCATGCATTGCATCTGGTATATCTCAATTTCCCAGCATCCACAGGGTGGTTATGCTCCTATGTGGATGCTGGAGGTGGGGATGGCTTGTTTCATCAGAGGTTCAGACTTGATGACCCTTTGGGGGGGCTGCTCATCATCCTGTACAGCTGGGGAGTGGAAGCCAGACTCACCCAAAGCCTCCAGGACACCGCTCAGCACAGCCGGCCCACCGTGAACATGGAACTCAGCACAGTCTTCTCCTGTGAAACTATTTGGACCTGCAGGTAAACGAGAAAGAGAGGTGTACATCTTTCGAACTCGTTCCCCTCTTACCAGATTCAGCCCAATGAGGCACAGCTGGGCTAGAGCAGGGGGGCTTTAAAAAAAAAAGAGGCCTGAGGTGACGCTGGATTTAAAAAGGGTGATTGAAACACAGAACAAAATCAAAGCTTTAAAATAAAGTTATATTTTTAAAAACACTGCTTGCAACCATAGAAAACTATTCCAAAGCACGTCAAAAAAATCTAGAAAATTCTCCTCCCTTGGAGAGCTCAGAGCCTGGCCTGGCTTGCATTTAATCCTTGAGAGAACCTGGCCTCAAGCAACCTTGATTTTTATTTTACTATGCATTTTAAAGGATTTTAAAACCACCAGGAATAATATTATGCAACTGTATAATTTATTATATTATGGATAACCACCTTGGCCCGAGGGGCTTCAGAAAAATCAATGTATAATATGCTGAAATATTTACAATAAATACAAACAAAGCTTCCGCCCCCACCCCCTTCCCTTTTAAGATATTTCAGAATGACGGCTTCCAGTTTCGCTATGGTCCAACCACACTTTTAATTTATTTATTTATTTATTGGATTTTTATCCCACCCTTCTAGACAGGAGTCTACTCAGGGCGGCTCACAATATATTAAGCACAAAAACAGATTTTAAAACAAGAATTAAAATCTACGAAAATAATATAATCAAGATGGGAAAGTGAACGGCAAAAATCAAGAAAAAATAAAAATCAAGTATCGGCAGGAGGGAAGGCCTGTCCAAAGAGGCAAGTTTTTAATTGCCTCTTAAAAACATCCAGCTAGGGTTCCAGGTACATTTCTGGTGGCAAGCTATTCCAAAGCTGAGGGGCCACTGCCAAGAAGGCCCGGTTTCTTGTTTTTTCTTTCCAGGCTGCTCAGCTGCCTTTCCAGACTATGACGAGTGAGACTTGAGTAGATCTAGGTGGGAGAATGCGTTCTGCCAGGTATCGAGGCCCTAAACCGTTTAGGGCTTTGTATGTCATCGTTAACACTTTGAAGTCAATCCGCTCAACTCCACTGATCTGAACCCCATTCGGTTCAATGGGATGGGCTCAGGAGCCAGCCCGCGTCCTAAAGATTGTTTGGAAATTTTCAATTTTTACAAACGAGCGGCGCAAGGCGATGACAAGACTTCCCAACCTGGAAACCACATGACGAGGCCGCAATCCAGGGTTTCGGCAGACCCGGGGTCCCGTATCCTCCGCAGGGCGGCGGTTCTCGGAGGAGGGGGTTCCTTGGCCCCCGTGAGGCTCAGCAAGGCTGAGCGACTCGCTGGGCCGCTGGTTCGAATCACGGCGACCCCGCATTTCCCGTGGCCTGAAGACAGGGCAAAAACAGTCTCCCTCGTGGCATCCACACCATACAACCTGCGTCAAAAGAAAAGCAAAGATTTTTTTACTGCTTTGGGGGAGCCGAATAAGAGGCCAAAACAATGGGGTGCATTTTGGAATTGAAATCTTTTACAGATTTCCCTTTTATTTAAAAAAATCGCTCAAGCTGTTAAGGTGATGAAGCTGCTTGGAAACAACTAATTACCATATGCTGAATGGATTTTATTCCTTACAGTATTTTAAATTTATTCTTTCTTTGCTACTTTGTAGCCGCTGGAATTTACTGCATCTGCTTTATTTGTAAACTGTCTGGAGATTTAATTACTGTATATAATGGGATAAATCGAACAAACAATAATAGGTAAGGAAGAGTAAATGTCACCTCCTTCACAGGCACTGGAAAAGCTCCTCTCCTAAGAAATCCCTGACTGGGGATGATGGGCGTTGTAGTCCGCTCTCCGCCCCCCACCCCATTTCTGACCCTTCCCCCTTCCCCTAAAGCCACCCACCTGCAAATCCGTCTGAAGGAAGGGCGGGCTTGCCTTGCAACCCGCAGCCCGCCCTGCAAGGTCGGCCACATGGCCTCACCAGGCAGCCGGGGGGAGGGGGCGTCTCAGCAAGACCCCCTTACTGCGTGCGCCGGGCTTCCCTCGACCAGGACCCCGTGGCGCATGCGCCGGCTTCAAAGGCAGCATTCGGGATCCCTGATATATGATTTATTGTGCAATTCCTACTCCTTTTCTTGGTTCCAGCTTATTGAAAAGAAACTCTGTGGCCGCCTCCGGCAGATAAGGTGAGAGCGAGGGAGCGCGTGGCGCGTGCAGGCGAACGTTCCTCCCTCGTTCCTTTAGGCGGAACGTACAGTAATTCATTCTTTTAAAAAAAAATGCCACGTGGCTGGCGGCGGCGGCGTTGTCCTCTTTTCCACCCATCTCGTGCTCTAGGTGAGGCTTCGCTCCTGGGCTTTTTTTTGGGGGCTGGTGGGGGAGAAAGTAGGGGTTAAAAATTAGGAAGGAAGGAGGGGGAGAAAGGAATTCAAGGACTTCCTTGCAAATCGTGAATTAAGGGGAAACGTTTCCTTCATCCCGTCCTGGAATGACACCAGTTTCCTTGCAAAGACTCCCCCACAAAAGCCGTAACGTGTATTTTGCACCTGTAAACCCTTGAGTATGGCTCAGCCGGCCGTCTGTGCATGCCCAGAGGCAGCCGCTCCTAGCGCGGCAACGCCCAGCCCTTCCCCAGTTCCGAGGGTGGGAGCATTTGACTTTGCTCTCCTTACCCCTCTGTGTGCAAAACAAGGCGTAGCAATCATGGTCCCCCGAAAAAACCTTATTTTTTGAGCCCCGGGATGACGTCACGGGGGGCAGGTGGGGGCGGCGGGGTTGGTTTGCTTACTTTGGGGGGAGATTTTTCTCTGCAGCTTGGCAGAGCTGAACAGGAAGCTTCCGGACCTGTTTTTTTATTATTGATTTTTTTTCAAAAAAATAATTGTTTTATAGCGTTGGCTTTTAAAAATCCTATTATGGTCTGGCTCCCCACCCAGCCGGCGGAAGCCAGCCAGCAAAGAACTTAACCTGGAGCCACTTCCTACCTTTAAGCCCTCACTAAAAAAATCACCTCTAAAATATGCTGCCCTCCCGCACAGCTGGGTTGGCCTGTGAACCATAAGATTTACCCCTGTGCCTCTTTCTCTCTCTGGCTTCTCCCCTTTCCCCGGGCACGGGGGGGGGTGTGTGTGTGTGTGCAGGATGCCTGGGTCCCCTTCAGCTTTGGCCAGGTGGGGGGGGGGGAAGGCAGAAGGCTTGGAAGATGCTCATTCTGGGAGTTACACATTGCAAAAGGTTTGTTTTTATTTGGAAAACTTTGCAGTGTGGAAATCGCCCGCCTGCCTGCGTCCAAGGATGTGGGTGCTGATTAATCTTCTCAACTTCAGAGTAATTAAAACAATTCTTAGCATTTGTTCTTTGTGCCATGACTCTATCTGCCTACTCAAGCTGTCCTTTGTTTCTGCCCAGCTTCTGATTCTCCTCGTTCGCTCACCAGCAGGCTTTCTGTCCCCTTCAGCTCCCTCTGCGGTCCTTACTTGCAGCCCTGCGAGGTGGGCCAGGCTGGACTGTGGTCCTCTGAAGCCCCAGTCACAATTGGAAGCCATGCTGGAGGCTTTATGGACTCTTAAGCCCATGCTGCTTCACTTTTGGCTAGGCTGATGGGATGTGTAGGTCCAAGATTTCAGGGAAAGGGGCCACTTCAACCCTCTCCTGTCCTAAACCCAATTTGGCGCTCAAATTCAGCCCTGCCATAGCAGGGACTCCTCCCATTCTTAGCGTTATTTAATGGCTATTTTGTTTTTTTGTTCATTGCTTGTCTCTGTGTTCTTTTTCTATTGATTTGGATTGGTTCTCCTTGAACACCAGGTTCTCCAGGAGTTAATAAACTTCTGTAAAGTCCTTCGGTTCTCCCCATTTTCCAGGAGAGGAAACGAACGGAGGTGAGTAACTAAAGGCCTGTTTGAATCTAAGCTGCCCTCACGCATGGAGGCAGAGGGTGTGGGAAATCTAAGGGGAGCCTCGGCCTTTCCAAACTGATCCAAACAATCAAGGATAAACAGTTTGTACAACATGGGCTGTATTAAGATACTATGGGTAGGTCATTAGAATGAAACCAGCGACAGTGCTGGAAGAGGAAACTCCCAGGGCTTAGAACCGGATCCTAATCTTAGAACTGTAGAGCTGGAAGGGACCCTATGGATCATCCCCCATCAATGAGGCACTGTGCAGGAATCGAACTCCCAACTTCAGCGTCCACAGACCTAAACCCCTGAGCGATCAAGCAGTTCTTGCATTGATACAGAGTAGTCTCTGCCCCAGATGTCATACAGTGGCTTATATTAGTTTTTAGATCATGCTTTCGGCAATTCATAATAGGCCGTAATTGGACAGATCCTCCTAACAGACCTGTAGGGTGGACCTGGAAACAGAGTCAGACATAGTTTTGCTCAGCCAACAAATGAGCTGGAAGGGACCCTATGGATCATCCCCCATCAATGAGGCACTGTGCAGGAATCGAACTCCCAACTTCAGCGTCCACAGACCTAAACCCCTGAGCGATCCAGCAGTTCTTGCATTGATACAGAGTAGTCTCTGCCCCAGATGTCATACAGTGGCTTATATTAGTTTTTAGATCATGCTTTCGGCAATTCATAATAGGCCGTAATTGGACAGATCCTCCTAACAGACCTGTAGGGTGGACCTGGAAACAGAGTCAGACATAGTTTTGCTCAGCCAACAAATGCCACCACCACCCCAGGAAATTTGTGGCCAAGGTGATACGTGGACCCAAACATCTGGGCTTCCACGCTTGAAAGTGAGAGGTTTCCACCAAGAAAATGTGGCCTCCTTCCTGATCCTAGATGTGGAGGCGCATCCGGGGGGGTGGGTGTTCAGTGTACTGCAGAAGAACACTCTGCACATGGTCAGTGGCTTTTCTTTTCAAATGGGTGGCTCCACGTATTCCATCTGATAGAATCTTGATTATCCAGGAAGGATTCCACCATCTTATTTATTTCCATTTATTAAGATCCCGTCTTTCTCCCTTTAAACCCATGTACAGACACGCTTATCTTAAAGGAATCCCATAACAATCTTGCAGGGTTGGGAGCTCGGCACTCTTGGCTTTCCAAATGATATTTAATCCTGATTCCTACACTTTCTGTTCCTTTCTGGGAAAAGGGTGTTTCCCCACCTGTGGCTTCCCCCACACCTAAAAAAAAAGCAAAGGGACCCCCCCCCTGTTACATAACAGCACTGATGTTACCTGTCTGTCATGGGTTTGGAGGGAAAGTTCCATCCTATGGGGAGTGGAAGGCGGGACATCAGGAGGAGGGGCTGTACTGTATAAATATGTGATGCCTGTGTGGTGAAGAGTAGATGCTGAGACAGACTGTGAGACACTGGGTTGGGACGAAGCAGCAGCTGGGGAAGAAGAAGCTGTTGTGGGAGTCTGTGTGTCTGACAGGGTACTACTGTGGGTCAGAGTACCACCCTGATAGGTTGAGGGGTCTGTTGGTTAGCCAGAACTGATGGGTTCAGGGTCTGTGCTTTAAGTTAAAGGTTCTAGGTGAACCAAACTGTATGCTTGTGTGTGTGAGAATAAGCCACGTTACTTTATTTTATTCACCTGATTGTTTTATTTACCCTGTTTGTATTTAAAATAAACCTTATTCTTTTGTTGTTTAAAAATCCATCCCTGGTCTGTGTGACTTATTATAGGGAATGGTTGGTGGCAGCTTAGTAACTGTGTGATAGATCCCAGTAGGTCTGGGTTTGTCACACCCCCCTTACCACCTCAGCCAAGCACTCTATCAATGTCTTCCTTTAAAAAAAAATTCAGAATCAGCAAGGAGGCCAATTCTCCCGAGTCAAGTTACTTTGCTGGTATTTTTACACCCGAACATGTCCCCGGTCGGCATCTAGAAATAACAGCATGACCTTTGGGGCTAAGATGCCACTGGACGTCAAGACGAGGCAGGAAAACAAGGCTGGAGGAAGCAGCAAATAATAATAATGATAATCCTCCCCCTCTTAGAACTGCAAGGCTGAAAGGGACCCTCGCGATCATCCAGCCCAGCCTCTCGAGGAGGCCCCACGGGGGATTCGAACCCCCAACCTCTGGCTCTGCAGATTATTCTCATCTGCTACTTGGAGTAAATGTTATGTGTAGCAAGCAGTTAATGCTCACCAGCCCAGTTCCGTCCCTGACAATTTGAGCAGCTAATTGCCACAATTATGAAATCAGCCTAGACGGAACCTGGGTGCGAGAGACGGCAGATGCGTGGGCTGACTCTCGACCTGCAGCAAGTGGCTGCCAAAATTTGTCCCAACTTTGTGATCGGTTTCTGTCTCGTTATGTAATAATTAGAACCCGAACTCCATAAGCAAAATTGGATTTAAAAGAAATACAACCTGGTGCAAAGGAAATTAAAACCCCTTTTAAAAATGTAATGCATGGTTTAGCTTGTGGAACACCTGGCCACAAGATGGCCACAGAAGTAGCAGATTTTTTTTATTTTGAGGAGACTTTAGAAATGTTTCTTCTGGTTTGGATGTCGTTCTGGCTCTGATTTTAGGAAAATAATCTTGAGTTCATCGGGACAGGTGGAAGCTTGGGATAGAATTAAATTCACACTGGGGAGAGGAAAAAGTCTGATGGTTGGACAGATAAGGGGGTCGTAGCCTAAGAACTGAGCAAGGAAATAATAGCAAAACTGCCGCAAATTAGGATTTATGAAATTCAACCCTGACTCTGCTGGCCTTCCGATCTAAGCCTTTGGTCTTCTCTGTTTTATTTTATTTTTATTTTCCCAGCCATCCGTCTGTTGAAGAAGGTGGCTCCTCTGGTGATAAATCTAAGCCGGATCCCAACTTTTTAAAAAAAAGGGAAAAGAAGATGCATTTCCCTCTTTACAAACTTTCTGTTCTGAAGTTTGGGGGGAAAGTTTTCCAAAGGTGTGCAGAACGGCCACAGGAAATCTAATGCAGCTGAATGCAGACATTTGCGGGATGTGTGAACCGTGTAAAAAATAGTGACTCTCTTTCCCCCCACCCCAAAGTTGTGGTGCAAATGAAGAGCCTTGGATCCCGCCCGGAGTGTCTTGCACGGATCCAGTTCCCAGGGTGGTGGTGGAGGAGGAGGAGCACTGCCACGCCCGTGGTCCTTGCCAAGGAAGGGCACCGTCCTGCTTTTCCCCGACCCGCACGGGCAGGCGGGCAGATGGCGCTGAGGAGATGCAGGCCAACCAGACTATTAAAAGCTCCTTGCCTTTAACTTGAGGCGGCGGCGGCGGCTGCTGCTGCTGATCATCATCCTCACTGCTGCTCTCCCCCACCCCGCCGCCTCACTCTCCATCCCGCCCTGTCTTTGTCCTTCCTTCAGTGGCGGCTGCTCTCCTCTCGAGCGAGCGAGCGCTCCTGGACCTGGAATTTGTCCTTCCTTCAGTGGCGGCTGCTCTCTCCTCTCAAGCGAGCGAGCGCTTCAGGACCTGGAAGAGGAAGCAGGCGGGGGAGACGGGAGACGAAGCAGTGCTGCTCACCTGGACCCCCCCCCGCACCTGGAGGCAGGCACCAGACACCCCCCCAGTGCTTAGCCCGGATGGTGCCCCCGCCGGGCTCCCTGGCTGGCCCCGGCATGGGGGGCCACCCCCTCGCTCTGCCTTGGCTCGGATGAGGCGCCTGCTTCCCGTGGCCGAACTCCGCCGCACTGCGATGCTGCGGTGGTTCTCTTTGTGGTCCAGCCTTCCTCCTCTTCGCCCTCAACCTTGAGCCAAAACGAAGCCGGAGCAGCTGCAATGCCTGAGCCCGGGGCAGGACCGGCTCCCGCGGGATCCCAGGAGGGCGAACGG